TAGTAAACACAGCACACCTAGAAAAATCATTAAAGAACCTATAAGAACAATAGAATTAAATGACATTATAATTCTATAGGTTGAATGCATACAAATGGAGTAGAATAGAGGTTACCAGAAGCAGAAGGTTACCAGGAAGGGAGCAGGATGAAGAGGGAGAGGTCGGTCAAAGTGAACAAAGTTGCAATTACATGGATGAAGTGGAGAGATGCAATGGACAGCGGGATGACTGTAATTCATAACACTGTGCTGTACACAAGAGTCGACTTCTCTCGCCACATACAGAGACACACACACAAAGGGTACTATGTAAGGAGTTGGATATGCTAACTGGCTTGACCTTAATAATCATTTCACTGTGTACATGTATATCAAAGCATCATGTTGTCCATCTTAAATATATACAAAAAAATCAAGGTGCCAGAGAAAAAAGAGTGTGATGCAGAGCAAAATAATGATGGAGGAGCATTTTTAGGAAGGTCACAGAAATAAATGGTGGTGAGAATTTTATATCTAGACTAGCTGTCGTTCCAGCTTTGCGGTACAGAGAAGTAGCTTTAAAAAGGCAAGAACCTGGGCAGTATTACCCAAGGATCTTACTGAGGAGTGCACTAGAGACCGAGCTTGTTCCTGCCAGCAGACGAGGAGCAAAAGTCCAGAGCACTGGTGACCTTCTAAGAGATTTAACTGCAGATCTAGGAGTAAAATAAAAGGGAGGGAAAAAGGTAGGATTCCATATAAACTACACATAAATAAACATTGTATGTTCTGATAAAGTAGAAATAATGCAACCTAAAATGGAGCAGAAGAAGTGTGGTAAGGAACCTGGAATAAACTCACTGACGGTAGTACAGCTAATACATGAAAGCCAAGGGATGATGAAAAACTGATGAGCTGAGCAGGCACGTGGCAGGGTGGTTAGGCTGCCACCTGGGATGCCCACGTCCCCTGTCAGAGAGCCTGGATCCATCCCGGCCCCTCTACTGCTTATCCAGCCTCATATCAGATTCTGGATCCATCCGGTCCCTCCACTGCTGATCCAGCCTCACATCAGAGCCTGGATCCATCCCAGCCCATCACTGCTGATCCAGCTTCATATCAGAGCCTGGATTCATCCTGGCCCCTCTACTGCTGATCCAGGATCATATCAGAGCCTGGATCCATCTGGCCCTTCCACTGCTGATCCAGCCTCATATCAGAGCCTGGATCCATCCTGGCCCCTCTACTGCTGATCCAGCATCATATCAGAGACTCGATACCCATACCGGCCCCTCTTCTGATGAACCCGCCCCTTATATCATTTTTCAATCCAGCAGCCCCGCTGCTGATGGACTGGCTGGGAGAACATGGATTCATTCCGTCCCTTCCACTGCACAGCCAACCTCGGATCATATTGCATGGAGCCACCAGGCAGCTCCTCTACTGATGCTCCTTTCTCTCATAGAA